CAGGGAAGATACCTGTCATCCCCTGTGGAAAAATGGTATTTCTGCATAGTCGACTCATGATTATTTGGGCCTAACTTACCCAGTTTGCAGACTATCTAATCCCCTCTTTCTCATTCCTGAAAAACTATTTCACTTGTTAATCGGTTAACTTGTCTTTCCAAAGACTGATATCAGAGAGAAGAGATGAGCCTCACACAAGTGCACTTTTTTTGTTGTTTTTATTGGACATGTGATTCCATTGGACTAGAGAAATCCTGATGAAGAAATTCCTTATACCAGTGCACCTGTATTGCACTTTCTAGTCTTAGAGAGCTACCTAGGTCACGGAGAGATTAAATGACTTGCCCAGAGTCACATAGCCGATGTGTTTCAGAGGGTAGGTTTGAACAGATCTTATTGACTTTGAGATTAGCTCTTATGTGAGTTTTATTTATTATTGTTTAATACTAGCAAAAGTTTTGTGAGAGCCTGAAACTAAGAACTATAAAACAGGTCTTTTGGATTATTTGTGGATTTCAGTTTTCCCTGGTTTCCTCTTCCTGATTATTACAAGTAATCAAGAGTTGAGAGAGTACCCATGGTAACCTATCAAATGAGTTGTACTGCATTAAAACTGATTCCTAATATGTAAAGAAGAGACTAAATACTAAATGTTTAGCCTGGAGTGTGGTCTCAAAAGGGCCAAGCACCTTTTCCAAAATCAGACACCCTGTATTGTTTATACAGTATTTATGATGAAGCAAAGTAAAAGAAAAAGAGTGTATTGGTTTTTTTCTTAAATTTGAACAGTGTACACCATGAACACCATGGCTACAGCTGGCATTTTAAAACCCTTACAAAGAAATTATCTCTTGTCACTAAGGGCTTATTCTGCCATTAGGGAGCTTACAATCTAGGAGAGAGACATGACACAAATAACTATTGTTAAGTCCTACATGTTAGGCTCTGGCTTAATAGTATATTCTGATTCAAATCTAAGAAAACCAATACATTGTTTTTCTTTTATTTTGCTTTATCTTAAATACTGGGTAAACAATATTGCCAGTGCTTGGTTTAATCTTGATTCTTTAGGACAGAACCCAGTGTTCTCTGCAGATAGTAGGTGCTTCTTAAATCATGTTTCTAATTTCAATTTTAGGATTATAGATTTGGAGCTTGAAGAGATCTCAGAGGTACCTAGCCCAACCCCTTTCATTTTATAGATGAAGAACTGAGGCCCAGAGAGGTAAAGTAACTTGGTTAAGGTCACATAGGAGTTAACTAGCAGGAATGACATTTGAACCCAGGTTCTCTAACACTTCTTTGTATTGTACTGTACTTCTCCCTTTTCTAAAAATATTTGTCAGAATAAATTTTGGAAGAGTTCACTAGTGCCTATCTCTTAAGAGATCTTAAGATATATTTTATCATTAGTTCTCTGACTGGTAATGAGATGACCTGATTGAAAATGTCAGTGGTACTGAACTTGCCTGGATCTTGACCCCATAACATAAATGTTTAGTGTAGACAACCCAAAACAACAAATCATGCATCTTAAGTCAGGAACCCCTTATCCCTCTCCTTTTGCCTCAGTGAAAGTAAAAGGGTTTCCAGAGTACCCAGGGTTTTAAAACCTGGAACATTTTATAATCAGCATACAAGCTCTATTAGCTACTATTAAAGATCCTGAGGACAGTTGTGTGTTATCTTTTACCTATCCCTGAACAAAAAGTTGGGGTTTGTATCAAAAAGAGTGGAATCAAAACTGTCCTTTTTTCTCCTTTAAGGATGAATGGCACATCTTGATGATATAATAAGAATCAGAGGATCATGTGAAATTGTAACATATATATGTAGAAGAGTTGGAACTGCTTTTATTTTTAAAGCCTGTTTACAAAGAGAAAACTGTAATTTTTACTTGTCATTTAACTGTGAGCAGTCTCTCAACTAAGATCAGAGTATACCTGTGCTTATTGATTCTATTTAATCTCTATGGATTATACTTCATTATTGATGAACCAATTCTTCAAGATTCCCAAGGCAAAAATCTGTCAGGCCTCATTCAGTAACTTTCCATTTATATCCTCTCAAAGGGAAATCCTGATTGTTCCATGTTTCTACCATCATTGCATTACAGATATTTTTATTTTCAAGTGTTCAGTCCAAAGCAACTATCAGTCAAAATATTTCACTGCTGTGAGTAAATTTCATCCAGTAGTTAACAGTATTAAACTTTAATCTGTCTAGGCCTCAACTTGACAGGGTCCCTTTAAGCAGTCAGCAGACCTGAAAACACAGGCTCTGCAGAGAGCCGTTGTCTCTGGTATAGAGAAATACAGTGCATTCTGCTCTGAGTCTTCAGATTTGGAGATATGATCCCATAGGAAAAGCCTGTACTTAGAGATACCTATTCTGCATGCATTCACTGGGCTTCATGCCACATAAAATGAAATTTGGAAATTGAAGAGGAAAAAGGCTATTTTTTTCCTTAAACTTTCCTGCTGCTTTTATAGCTTCATGACTTCTGAAAGGTAATTTTCAGCTTTTCCTCCCTCCTAGAAATCTTTTTTATCTTTATTTTATTTTTTTCTATGACTGGACTACTCAACCTTTTTCCTTGATTCAGAAAAGATTGAAAGATTAAAAATGCCATTTTTACCTTTCCTGTTTTATTTTCCTTTCAGATTTGTGCCTCACAGATAATATTTAGTTTGCACAATGCTATTAGTCCCCGAAGGGAGCTGCATCTGCCATTATTTGGGGTAGAGGACCTAAACCATATGGGCAGAAGGATGATAAACTGTGGTAATTGGGCTGAGAGCTATATGCTGTCCTCAGTCTCACTCTTCTGATTGCTCTTCCAAATTGATATCCAGAAGTTAATTAAGGTCTGCTGTGCAGCAGGCAGACGCTTTGAGATTCCTCATACTGCAGTTTGCAGGTTCAGGCAATTGGCATTCTCACCCTGCTCATTGGCAGAACTGGTCATCCTTCAGTACAATACAGGAAAAGGAAAGAGAGCCATCCATGAGCCCTGTATGGTAAGGAATGAATCTCTTGTCCTTAAGCTTTGTGCCCTGACATTTCTTTTTATTTATTTTCATTTAGTATGGCTCTAGGCAGCTGATGCTGTAGATTTTGATAGGTCATCATATAAGGCCAAAATAAAGCTAAAGGGCATTCTGAAGGAGAAATGAAGCTGAGGATTGAAAAGACAATGCTTAATAATGAATTGGGGGAGCATTTAAATTTGGAGCTAATTTACAGATACTGTGATTTCTCAGATTTTCCAATTACCTTGACTTGAAAGATCTCTGACTTTGTCTTTGTAAGTTCTTAATGCAATATTTTTAATAATTTTGAACTCAATGTTACTTTTATACATTAGAAGAGAAGAGTCAGTCTTAAAATATAATCTTAGGGAATTTGCCTTATTTTCTATACCCCTGACTTCCCCACATCTTCAGCCCCGGGTTTTTGGTAACAAAAGGCAAATAAGGTCCACTGGGCAAGGAGCCAGAAGATCTGGGTTTTATTTCCTAGCTTTGCAATTTTGCGGAGTGGACTTGGGCAAATAGCTGATTCTCTCTGAACCTTTGTTTCCTTATCTGTTAAATTGGGGATAATACCAGTCTTATTTTGTGAATTTTGTGAAAATCAAGTGAAGTAAAATTAAGTAAAAATACTTTGAAGGCCATGAAGCACTATGCAGATGAGAGGTGATGTTATGATGATAGGATAAATGTGATGAATGGATTTTACTTCCTTATGGTGATGGCTTCTGAGGGAAGGATAAGTTATTTACTGGGGATTTTATGGATGCTAAGTATAGGTGATTGTGATAATTCTTGTGAAACCTAGAAAATAAATTGGCCAGTTGTGTTGGTGCTGTTACTGCACCCTGGTGGTAGTTTCAAGGAGAAGCCTTCACATAGATCTTAAAGGCAGGTTTCATCAAATATACTTTGGATCTAGAATTCAGCCATCAGATTTAGAAGCTATTTGAATTTTTTAGGAAATAAAAAGAAAGGGAGGTGAGAAGAAAGCCAACATGCTCTTGTAAGCTGATGCTCATTAAGCTGTGGTCCAGACCCAAATTAGGGTCACTAGACATCTAAAGAAAGACCTTAAACAATCCTCTTTGAAGACTCAAAGAAGTAGCTGAGCATATTTGGCCAAGGGGTTTTGTGGACCTCTGCATAAAAGCCACGGAAGCCAACAGTGTCTTCCCACCTTTTGATTGTGCCTTTGCTTCCAGTCTGGTGAACTTATTACTGTGAGAATTTAATGACAAGTAAATCTTTCAGTATCCATTGTCTTAAGTGAATTCCTCTTTGTTTCAAGCAAATTCCTCTCTGAGATAAAATTGGCAAGTAAGTTTAAGCCCAGTTGCAAAGTTCAAATCTATTTTCTGAGTTGAATAAGGTATAGTGGTAGCTGAAAAACCAAAGAAGCCAGGTCCCTACTATTGCCAGCATTGAATGGTGCTTTTGAAGTGGCATTTTTGAAAGAGTGACTAAGTGTATACATGGCAGGCAACCGTCAATAAGCATGCTTATTGCTTCTCAATTCTCTTTTGTGTGTTGACTTCTCCATCAGAATGTAAGCTCTTCAAAGGTAGGGACTGTCTCTTTTCTTGTATTGTTTAGCAAAGTGACTGATATATAATAAATACTTAATAAATGTTTTTTTGTTTACTTTATTACCAGGACTTGTTGAGCTCTGTCTTAAAGAAAAGCTCCCAGGGCATTATGGTGGAAATGGACAATGGGGATATTTATATGGTTTTCTATATTTAAAAGATCTTCTAGTATCAGAAGAATGATGGTGATACAAAAACGCTAATATTTTGAAAGCAGAGACTCACTCATTTGAGAAGGCTTGTATCAGTTAAAGAGAAGTTTATTTGGTTAGAATGAGAACTAAAAAGATATAATGAGAAATTAAATCCTGGATTAGAACCCCAACCGTTTAATTATGAAAGAAGTAATTCTTTGAAAACAACTTGCTTGTAATTTTAGGGATCAATGCTCAGGCAAGGAAACTCCAGAAGAATCGTGCAAAGGGTGCTACAACACTGACAGCAGGATGTAAACGAAATTCCACTCCACCCACACTTCGGCGCACAGTTAGTGAAACCAGCTTGAGCCATCCTAGTACACAAGAAGAGGAGCCGAAGGGGCATTATTCCACCTTGTTGGACCCCATCCGAAGCCCAGAGGACCCAGGCAAGGCGCTTCAGGACACTGTTTTGGAGACAGATAGCAGTAGCAATATGCGATACTCACTTTACCAATCGCCACACCTTCTTCTTCTGCAGGGCTATAGTCAGCAGCATGTACGTACTTCACTTCTTTTATTAAACTGACTAGATAAGCAGTTCCTAGACTTGTGATAAATAAAATTTGTCCCCTCTTTAAGTGGCCTCTTTTAATTTTTAGTTGAATGAATTTCCTTGTAAGGATAATTTATGATTTACAATCCTGGCTAGGAATTGAAGGGGCTGGCATTGGGGATGTTCATCAGTGTGTGTATCATTAAGGTATTCTGAAGAATTAAGTTTGTTATATTAAAGGTGATTAGGAAGTTTGACAATTCTTTTCAGGTAGTAGATAATTGTTCCTACCCTTATAAGATGTAGAGAACTGGTCCTGGGTAGCAATAATAATAATCCACATTTATATAGCACTTTAAGGTTTACAAAGCTCTTTACATAACCCCTCTGAGGTAGATGGTGTAAGCATTCTTGTTCCCATTTTGCAGAGAACACTGAGATTCAGAAAAATAAAATAACTTGCCCAGGTCACCCAGGTGGTAAGTATGAGAGCCAGAATTCAAACCCATCTCTACTCTTCAAGAATAGCAGTTGATCTTTATTCCTCAAATGGAGAATGGCGAATCCTCCTCTATTTCTTAAACTACAGGCCAGAATCCTGTCAAGTCAGCCCCAGCCCTTGAGATGGCTTGACCTTTTCACAATGGGAAGAATGCTATTCAAAGAAGTCTTCCACTCTGCCAACCAGAATGCCTAAGGAGAATATGCTATCAAAATTTCATGTATGCCTCTTTTAGTCACTTGAACCCCCAGTATAGAATATAATGATCAATAATGATCCGTCCTAGTTCTTAAGTTTTCTACTGAATTCATGATCCTTCCTTAGAGAGCTTTACACATTGGTTTCAAGGTGGACACAAAGGATTGTATGGTTTTCATTTCTAAAAAGGGGAATAGGTGCAGACTGGCTGGCTGGCTTCATTCCAAGTCATAGTGTCACTGGTAGAGCTAAAGAGAGCTTCTTCCTTGGGATTGTATGTAGACATTCCTAAGCCTATGGAATGTAGCATATTTCTTGAGGGATGACTTTGGAAGCAGTTACCATTAATGTCATCATTGAATACACTTTAGCTAGAAATTAATGCCTTACTCCTCTTTTCCACACCTGTCATGCTCTCTCGTTCTCCCTTTCGTCATTTCTTATTTACTCAGCTTTAATTTATTTTCCTACTCTATTTATGAATTATACCTCATTAAAACTAAAATAGAAAGTTTCAGATACTCAAGTGTTAAGGGAAATATCAGATTACTTAATTGGAAGGAGAGAAGGATATTGTACTGGTACATTAGAGGGAGACAGTGCTGTGGAATCACTTGGGGACAGTTTAGCAGTTATGGGCATGTGGTCAGTAAGTCAGGCTCTCTCTTTCTAGGTCACTTGTCATCCTGCCACTGCAAATTCAAAGGTGTTAGAATGGAGCAGTCTCTGAGTCTCAAGTCTGTTACTTATTGTCCTCTGGAACACTAATCTCTGGGGAAGAAGAAAAGAAAGTTGTCTAATCTAAGGGTGGGTGTTAAATGTGGGGCAGATGGAGGGCAGAAATGCAAACGAGATCCCATGGCTCTTCAGCTTCAGGCTCAGGGCCCTCGGGACAGCTCTTTTTGCATTGAAGGCTCAAGTGACCAGAGTGCCTTTTTTCTTGTGTTTTTTTTTTCTTGATCAAGTTGATTGAATCCTTGGCTTGTCCTGAAGTTTTTATGTTTTCATTTCAGGATAGCTTAGTTTATGTGCTCAACCGCGAACAGCACACAGTGGGCCAGAGGACTCCCTCTAGCAAGCCTAGCATCAGCCTTTCAGCCCCGGACATTCTGCCCCTCCACTGTACTATTCGTCGGCTCCACCTCTCCAGCCATTCAAGACATTCCCAAGCAGAAGAGAAGCTTATCCTTGAGCCAATACCTGGAGCTAGTATATCTGTCAACTTCTCAGAGGTGGGAAAGACTATGGTGCTCCACCATGGAGACCTACTCTCACTGGGGCTTTACTACCTGCTGCTTTATAAAGATCCTGCTCGAGCCCAAGCCCTCCCTGCCCAGACCCTGGCACGGCTCAAAGCTGTCCCCCGAACATCAGACCCTGTCACCTGTAGAATGTGTGGGACAGTGCTCAGGGGCAGAGCACCTTCCTCATCCAAGAGGCATGGAGCTCTGCCTAGTCAGAAGACCCCTCGACGAAGGCTTCATTTGGAGTTTGAGCCAGCAGTGGAGGATGTGCTAGTGAAGAGGATCATGACATTGATTGAGCCAGGGGGTGATGACCATAAGCTGACACCTGCTTTCCTACTCTGCCTCTGCATCCAACACTCTGCCACCAACTTTGAGCCAGGCGAATTTGGGCAGCTATTGCTTAAACTGGCCAAACTGATACAGAGGACAGTCTGGGTCAGTCAAAACAGGAATTGAGGGAGGTTGGGCTTTTGAAGTGTGTGACCTGCAGTGCCTGGGCTAATTGCCTGGCTCTTTGTAAGAGACAGTTTTAGAGTTCATTTCTAGCACCTAAAGCGTCAAGCAGAAGTAATGTGTTTCTGCTCCTCCTCCTCCTCCTCACTTCTCTACCCACAAATTGAGCTAGGAAAGTTCGAAGCTTTCCCCAGTATCTGTGGGGCATTGAAATTTATTAGAAGTGGAGCACTAGGCACAAAACCTTTTCTGCATATCTGCAGTTTGTAATTTATTTTTCATGTCTCCCAAGCATATTAGGCAAGCAGATAAAACTCTTGAATTATAAGCAAAAGGGTACCAGATGTATCTTGCTACAACTCCAATTTGAGGGAAGCAGGGCCAGAATGTTAATGAATCAACATTATTTTTGCTCAACATGCTTAGGTTCTAGACATATTCTCCCCCAACCTTTTTTACTGTCCTAGATCACTTTTAAATCTCTCATCTGGTGCCATTATGAAGGTGGTGCTGTTCAGTGGTGTTATGTACTGAGAACTTAGGTCTGGGAACAAGGCTAATCATCTTAAAATGATAGTTCTGTAGATGGAATTCCCTTAGTTATCTCTAAATGGTTTTTTGTTGGCACCTTGTCACTAGCACAAGCACTGCACCAGTAACTGCCCTGATTCCTGCACATGAATGCAGTTGGTAAAATCTGATGGGAGCAGGGCTAGATGTGCTTGCTATTCAGCTTTTTCCACTTAGAGAGCACCAGTATGAAAGTCTTTCGATAATGTGTTTACAGAGGCAGAAGACTGTGATACAGCACTAGTCACTTTTAAAATTAAAATAGCTTTACAGAAGGAGGTTTAACTGGTCACATCTGGGATAACTTTTTTTTTTTTTTTTTTTTAGTGAGGCAATCGGGGTTAAGTGACTTGCTCAAGGTCACACAGCTAGTACGTGTCAAGTGTTAGGTCTTAGGCCAGATTTGAACTCAGGTCCTCCTGACTTCAGGGCTGGTGCTCTATCCACTGCACCACCTAGCTGCCCCTGGGATAACTTCTCTTTGGCATTTTGACAGCCACTTGGATAGTCTGAGTTGTGTTTGGAATTGGCTGTTGGCTAACTAGGCGTTATCTGAGCTGTATCTACTAAATGAGAAAGGCCACAGCCTTAATCTCCTTATTATTGAGGGAAATAGAGATCCTTTGTTGTTCAGATTGGTCATTCTAGATGATCCTTTCCACAAACTTTAGGCCAGTCAATGTCCTGTAACAAAATTGTGAAAAAGTGTATCTTCATAAGCTTTCTTTTTAGAAACAGTGGTTTGTTTTTGTTGCTAGTGATGGTTAAAGTGTAATGTGATTGACTAAAGTTTGCAACATACATCTGATAGCTAACCCTCAATGCCATGGACGCTGTGATCTGGGTACTGTGTCAAATCTTCTAGGATTCTCAGTATGAAATCCGGTATTATTACTTCTGTGGCATATGTCATTTATACTCATGGGGGGCTAATAATATGCATAGTACCTGGTGAAATCAATGTAGTGTAAAATGAATGCCTGTATGTTACAGATAATTTTAACATTTAAAATATTTAAATTTTAAACATTTTCATTTTATTTAATCTCAAAAAATAAACAAATAGAATATGGAGTTGAAGTCCAAATAAGAAGGAAATCTGAACTATTTATATTTTGAAATTAATACAAATTCCAACAGAAGTTTCAATAACACTGATTGGTAGATGCTAAACTCTAAAATAAGAGAGTTGGACCTGATGACCTGATAGCCTTTTCCAACTCTAAATTCTATGATTCCTCTACTAAATTTTTTTTTGTCTATCTGTTCAAGAGCTTTTGACCTCTTCCTTTCCTATAGTGTGTACAAAATTTGTTGATATAGAATAGGATTTTGGAGTTGGATGGAACCTTAGAGATCATTTCTTCCAACCTTATGTTACAAATGAGGAAACTGAGGGTCAGAGAAGTTAAGTGACTTGCCTGATCATTTAGTTAATTAAATGGTAGAGTTAGGACTTAACTCAGGTCTCCTGAATCCAAGTTCAGGGCTCTTTTTGTTATTCTCTGCTGTAATGACTATAGATACCCGGATATTGGCTAATGTGGATAGCAAGAAGACTAACTGTAAGTATGAATAAGAGTTCTGTTTACCATAATAGGTCAATAGTTAAAATTAGACTTATGTCTTCATTTTAAGTGTTAACACTGCAAATACTGATTGAACCTGGGGGCCTGAAATTCAAATGTGTTTTCATTTACTGATAATCACAGGATTGAAACATTTTAAAATACATGATTAACAATGACAAAAGCGTAAACAGAATCCTGATTTGTGAATGTGATAAATATATAATCTTTAGTGTTTTTCAGTAGATAGTTGTTATGTAAGGTGAATGATTGTGAAATGTGTCTGCTACAGGAAATATGTAGGTCAGTTCAGGAAAGGGAAAGAGAAAAACAAAACAAAAAAACTGAATGATATGTGATGCTGGTTTTTTCCTATATAGTTTAGAGTAGTTAGCATAGTATAGACTGGATCTGACATGATGGTTTCATGTTTCTTATGTTGATCAGGGTACCACAAACATATAGGGGGGTTTATTGGATATAACTTGATGTGTAATCGTATTTTTTCTCATTTTTGCTTTTATTCTTTTGCTTTTAGGAAAAAACCAAAGAACTAGCAGAGAAACAGTCTCAGCAGTAAGTATAATAGTTATATATGGTTCCTGATATACTCATTAAACATGGAGTAAATCAACTTAGAGACCATCAGGGTGCATCCTGACTTCTCCCTTCTCAGCATTGTACTTTTTTTTTTTCAATTACATGTAACAAAAAAATTTAAACATTTTTTTTTAAGTTCCAAATTCTCTCCCTCTTTCTTTTCCCTACTCCTTGAAGAAGGCAGGCAATTTGATATTGGATATACATGTGCAGTCATGCAAAACATTTCCATGTTAGCCATAAAATGCAAAAGAAAAAAAAACAAAAATAAAACCAAGAATAATAAAGAAAGTAAAAAAGTATCCTTCAATCTGCATTTAGACTCCATCAGTTCTTTCTCTGGAGATGGATAAACAGTTTTCATCGTTAGTCCTTTAGAATTGTCTTGGATCATTGTGTTGCTGAGAATAGCTGAGTCATTTAGAGTTGATCATCATATAATATTACTATTAATGTATACATGTTCTCCTGGTCCTGCTCATTTCACTTTGCATTAGTTCATATATGTCTTCCCAGGTTTTATGAAAGCATCTTGCTCATCATTTCTTTTACGATAACAGTATTCCGTCACAATCACATATGACAACTTGATCAGCCATTCCCCAATTGATGGGCATCCCCTCAATTTCCAGTTCTTTGCCACCACAAAATGAGCTGCTATAAATATTTTTGTACATATACATATATTTCTTGTCTCCTTTTCCTTTTTCTTTGGTCTCTTTAGGATACAGACCTAGTAGTGGTATTGCTGGGTCAAAGGATATGCACAGTTTTGTAGCCCTTTAGGCTTAGTTCTAAATTGCTCTTCAGAAGGGCTGGATCAGTTTCACAACTCTACTAGCAGTGCATTTTTTCCACATTCTCTCCAATATCTGCCCTTTTCCTTTTCTGTCATATTAGCCAATCTGATAGGTGTGAGGTGGTATTTTAGAGTTGTTTTAATTTTCATTTCTCTAATCAGTAATGGGCAGGTAGTTGGCACAGTGGATCGAGTGCTGGGCCTGAAGTCAGGAAGACTCATCTTCCTGAGTTTAAATCTGGCCTCAGACACTTACTAGCTGTGTGACCCTGGGCAAGTCATTTAACCCTGTTGGCCTCAGTTCGCTCATATGTAAAGTAAGCTGGAAAGGGAAATGGCAAACCACTCTAGTATCTTTGCCAAGAAAACCGCAAATAGGGTCACAGACAGCTGGACGTGACTGAAACGACTGAAAGACAATCAATAGTGATTTAAAGTATTTTTTTTTCATATGACTATATATAGCCTTTGTTTCTTCTTCTGAAAACTGCCCATTTGTATCCTTTGATTCATATTCTTATAAATTTGGCTCAGTTTTCTATATATTTTAGAAATGAGGCCTTTTTCAGAGAAACTTGCTATAAAAATTTTTTTCAGCTTCCTGCTTCCTTCAGCTTCCTTCTGATCTCGGCAGCATTGGTTTTGTTTGTACAAAATCTTTTTAATTTGATGTAATCCAGATTATCCATTTTATATCCCTTAATGCTTTCTATCTCTTATTTAGTCATAAATTCTTCCCCTACCCGTAAATCTGACAGGTAAAATGTTCCATGCTCCCCTGATTTGTTTATGATATCACCCTTTATGTTTAATGTTCCCATTTTGACCATGTCATGGTATATATTGTTAAGTATTGGTCTGTACCTAGTTTCTGCCAAACTGCTTTCCAGTCTTCCCAACAATTTTTGTGAAATAGTAATTTCTTGTCCCTAAATATTAGATCTTTGGGATTGTCAAACAGTATATTACTCTGGTCATTTAGTACTATGCATTGTGACCTAATCTATTCCACTGATCCACTACTTTATTTCTTAGCTAGTACCAGATTGTTTTGATGATTACCACTTTGTAATACAGTTTGAGATCTGGTTCTGCCAGGAGGATAGAGCCACTAGGCTTGGAGTCAAGACCTGAATTCAAATCTGGCCTCACTAGCTGTGTGACCCAGGGCAAGGCATTACCTCTGTTTGTCTTAATCCATTCGAGAACGAAATGGTAAACTAGTCCAGTATCTTTGCCAAGAAAACCTGATATAGGGTCATGAAGAGTCAGTCACAACTAAACAGCTGAGCAACAGTTGCTAAACCACCTTCCTTCACATATTTTTTCATTAATTTCCTTGATATTCTTGACCTTTTGTGACGTGGCTGCTGCAGTGATGAGCATGAGACCAGCTCAATGCTCTGTAACCCCGAGACGCATGGATGAGGCGGAAGACAGCAAGGTGGCAGAAGCTCCGTTTATTGAGTACAGTTAGCTGTCTTTTATGGCCCTAGTGATGCATGTTCAAAGCGTGATCCCCCTGTGATAGCCAATCATCAGGTCTGCTGGAGCTCATGTCAGGACTCATCTCCCATTGAGAGGAGAGCCAAACCAACCGTGGGAGCTGCATGTCAGGAAAGGAGAGGTCCTGGGAGACTTCCTTATTTTTGCCACGCAACTATGTTGTGACCCTCAGCTTCTACTGCTAGAAGCTAGAACTCCCATGGGAAAGTTCCCTCAACAGAGCTGTCATGAGACCGTGAGACATTTACCCTAACACTTTTGTTCTTCCAAATGAATTTTGTTATTATTTTTTCTAGCTCTATAAAATAGGGGTTTTTGTTTGTTTTTTGGTAATTTGATTGGTATGGCACTGAATAAGCAAATTAATTTAGGTAAAATTGTCATTTTTATTTTATTGGTTGACTACCCATGAGCAATTAATAGTTCTACATTTGTTTAGATATGACTTTATTTTGTGTGAGAAGTGTTTTGTAACTGTGTTCATATAGTTCCTGAGTTTGTCTTGGCAGGTAGACTTCAAAGTATTTTATGTTGTCTGTGGTTATTTTATTTTATTTTATTTTTATTAATTTATTTTGATTTATCACCAGTCACTTCCATAAGCTTTTGAGTTTTAAATTTTTCTCTCCCGCTCTCTCCACGTTCCTCCCCAAGATGGTGCACAATCTGATATAGGCTATACATATACATTCCTATTAAATATATTTTCACATTAGTGATGTTGTAAGAAAGAATTAGAACCAATAGGAGGAACCACAAGAAAGAGAAAACAAAACAAATGGAAGAAAAAAAATAATCTGCAGTTATTTTAAATGGAATTTTTTTTCTATCTCTTCCTGCTGACTTTGTTGGTAATATATAGAAATGCTGATCATTTATGTGGGTTTATTTTATATCCTGCAACTTTGCTGAAGTTGTTAATTATTCAGCTAGTTTTTTTACTTGATTCTCTAGGATGCTGTAAGTATACCATCATATCAGCAGCAAAGAGTTATAATTTTGTTTCCTTATTGCTTATTCTAATTCCTTCAATTTCTTTTACTTCTCTTATTGCTATACCTACCATTTCTAGAACAATATTGAATAATAGTTGTGACAGTAGACATCCATGCCTTACCCCTGATCTTATTAGAAAGGCTTCTTGCTTATCCATATTACAGATAATGCTTGCTGATGGTTTTAGATTTTAAAGGAAAAGCTTCATTTTAAGGGAAATGCCATGTGTTCCTGTGCTTTCTATTGTTTTTAATAGGAATGAGTGTTGTATTTTGTCAAGTTTTTTCTGAATCTATTGAGATGATCATATGGTTTTTATTATTTTTGTTATTGATATGATCAGTTATGCTGATAGTTTTCCTAATATTGAATCAGCCTTGAATTCCTAGCGTAAATTCCACCTGTTCATAGCTTATGACCTTTGTGATATGTTGCTGTAATCTCCTTGCTAGTGTTTTATTTAAATTTTTTGTATCGGTATCCACTAGGGAAATTGATCTGTGGTTTTCGTTCTCTGTTTTTGCTCTTCCTGGTTTTAGATGTCAGCACCATATTTGTACTGTAAAAGGAATTTGACAGGACTCCTTTGCTTATTTTTCCAAATAGTTTATGTGGTGTTGGAATTAATTGTTCTTTGAATATTTGGTAGACCTCACTTATGAATCCATCTGGTCCTAGAGATGTTTTTTTAGGGAGCTCATTGATGGCTGGTTCAATTTCTTTTTCTAAGATAAGGTTACTTAAGTATTCTTTTTACTCTTCTGTTAATCTGGGTAATTTGTATTTTTGTACATATTATCCCTTTTACTTAAATTGTCAAAATTTTTGGCATATGATTAGGTAAAATAGCTCCTAATTGATTTAATTTCATCTTTATTGTTAGTGAATTCACCCTTTTCATTTTTAATACTGGTAATTTGGTTTTCTTTTTTTAATCAAATTAACCACTTTATTTTATTTTTTCATCACACCTGCTTTTAGTTTTGTTTTAGTTCAATGATTTTCTTACTTTCAACTTTATTCTTTCCTTTGATTCTCAGGATTTCCAATTTAGTGTTTAATTGAGGATTTTAAATTTGTTCTTTTTCTTTTTTTTTAGTTGCATGCCCAGTTCATTGATCTGCTCTTTTTCTATTTTATTAATGGATGAGTTTAGAGATAGATATTTTTTCCCTCAGTACTGCATCCCTTAAATTTTGGTATGTTGTCTCATTGTTGTCATGTTCTCTAATGAAATTATTTATTGTTTCTGTGGTTTGTTCTTTGACCCGCTCATTGCTTAGTATTAGATTATTTAATTTCCAATTAATTTATAATCTGTTTCCATGGTCTTTATTGAATACAATTTTTATTGCATTGTATTTTGAAATGGATGTATTTGATATTTCTGTCTCTTTGCATTTGGTTGTGAGGTTTTTGTGCCCTAATACGTGGTCAGTTTTTGTGAAGGTGGTAGGTACAGTTGAACAAATGGTATACTCCTTTCTATTCCCATTCAGTTTTCTCTAGAGTTCTATCATGTCTAATTTTCTAAAATTTTATCTATCTCCTTAACTTCTTGTTTATTTTGTGGTTAGATTTATCTAGTTCTGAGAGGGGAAACTTAGGATCCTCCACTAATATAGTTTTATTGTTTATTTCCTCCTATAACTCATTTAACTTTTCCCTTTGGAGT